TGGGCGTCGTGGCAGGTGCCTGTAATCCCAGCTACTCAGGATGCTGAGGCAGGGAGATTGCTTGAACCTGGGAAGTGGAAGCTGCAGTGAGCCAAGACTGATTGCACCACTGCACTCCAGCCTGGGTGGCAGAGTAAGACTGTCTCACAAAATGATAATATTAATAATAAAAAAAAATTTTAGAAAGCCCTACAAAAACACTAACTTTAAATATAAGACATAAATAGGTTAAAGATAATGTGTGGATAAAGATATACCATGCTATCATTAATCAAAAGTAGATATGTGTTTATTGGTATTAGACAAACTAGATTTCAGAATAAATAAAATTATCAGGAAGAAATGTTAATACAGATTATGAAGATTATAAGGCACCTGTTGAAATCAATGGGGGAAAATAAATTATTCAAGAAAAATATTCAAATAAAAATTGGTTTTAAAAAAGATAAATGTCTTATATTTTATCCCATTGTTAATGGGAGATCAAAGATTTAAATGTAAAAATTAAAATAATGTTCACTACTGTGAACAAAAATTGTTTCCTTGTTGTAAATACAAAATAGGTAAGGCCTTTCCAACTATGACACAAAAGAATCCATGAGAAAAATACTTAAGAATTTAATTAGATTTAAAAAAAAATCTTCATAGCAGAAACCACTATAAGCAAAGTCAAAAACAAATCACAAACATATAGGTAATATTTGCACTTACAAAGGGATAATTTTCCTAATTTAAAAAGATCTCCTTCAAATTAATAAGGAAATTAGCAACAACCCTTTAGAGCAGGGGTATCCAATCTTTTGGCTTCCCTGGGCCACACTGGAAGAAGAAAAATTGTCTTGGGCCACATAGAAAATACACTAACACTAATGATAACTGATGAGATAAGACAAAAATTGCAAAAAAAAACTCACAATATTTTGAGAAATTTTATGAATTTGTGTTGGGCCGCATTCAAGCCATCCTGGGCTGCATGCAGCCTGGAGGCTGCAGGTTGAACAAACTTGCTTTAGAACATCCAGCAAAGCATTTAAGTAGACAGTTCACATAAAAAGAAATACAAATTGTCCTTATGCATATGTAAACTAAAGATATTTACTATAAACTCCAAAGTAACTGCCAAAAAAAGTCAACTTGACTCATAATAAAATAAAGGCAAATTACAACAACACTGACACAAAAGTTTTACTCATCAATTTGGCAAAACCAGTAAGTCTGATAACAACTTATGTTGACAGGGAACTGACATTTTCATGATACGAGACCATTTTACTGGTACTTCTATAAATAGATATTATATAGTCAGATGATAAGTAGATAGATAATATCTATCCAAGTTAAAAATGAACATACCTTTTAACCTAGAAATTTTACTTGTAAGAATTTATCTTACAGATAATTCACACTTGGATAAAATGTACTAAATGATGACTGAACAAGGTTATTCACCGAAGCATCATTTAGAATAGCAAAGATTGAAAATAATTTTATAAAAACAAGAAAGTTAAATTTTGATATATTTTAAACAAATGAAACTATAAATCAATAAAAATTCTTAAGAAGCTCTTTATAAAATAATATGGAGCAGTAGCTAAGATACTATTTGAAGAAGAAAAGAACTCAGAATAGTGAACAACAATGTTATCATTTTTGTGAAAATAGTATTTAAATAGATATGTGTAAAATTTGCTGGATATGTAAACCTATGTATGTATATGCATGTATACGTAAACCTATGTATGTATATGCATGTATACATATGTATACGTATGTATATGTATATATCTCTGGAAGAGTAAAGGATAGCATTTATATAAACTTTTTTAACCATATTGTTTTCAAGCACATATTTGTAAAAATAAAATTACAGAGACATACGTGGTAGTGATAAACACCAAATTCAGGGTAGTAATTAACTTTGGAAAGGAATAGTAATAATAGAATTATGCAATGATACACAGAGCCTTCAACTGTTCTGTAATTCTTTTGTAGGGTTGTCATTTTCATATAATTTCAAACTTGAAAAAATAGTTAAAAGACAAGAACAAAGAACTTTCATACATCCTTTACCTATGTTTTAATATATTTTTCATCTCTCTCTCTTCCTTTTCTTTCTTTCCTCCCTCTCTCCTCTCTCTGTCTCTATCCACACAAACAAAAAAACATACTTTATCTCTAAATCATAACCATGATTCAATGACCAAAATTAGAAAATTAAGCATTGACTTAATATGATTAGCTAATCCATAGTCCACTGCATCTATATTATATTTATTTAAAAAATGCGAAGCAGGCTGGCCATAATTGTTCACACCTGTAATCCCAACACTTTGGAGGGTCAAAGTGGGAGGATCACTTGAAGCCAGGAGCTCTAGAGCAGCCTGGGCAATATAGTGAGACTCTGTCTCTACAAAATATTCTTTAAAAAATTAGCTTGCCATGGTAGTGTGCCTGTAATCCTAGCTACTCAGAAGGTTAGGGCAAGAAGATCCCTTGAACCCAGGAGTTTGAGGTTGCAGTGAGCTGTGATTGCACCACTGCACTCCAGCCTGGGTAAGAGAGTGAGACTCTGTCTCAAAAAAAAAAAAAAAAAAAAAAAGTGAAGCAAATATGGCAAAATGTTAAAACTGTTGGAGTTTATTAAAGGGGATGTGGATGTTTAAAATAGTTTCCATTGCCTAAAAAATAAGGATAATTTAACCATACATAATGATGTTATCTAGCTCATGTTTTAATCAGCCATCAATAAATATGTAGTATTTTCTATCTATGATGGAGACTAATTTCCTGGCCTCCAGGGTCTGGACCCTAGGGTTCAGTTAAGGCAATTATTTCTCTCATCATGTCAGATAATATGAATGTTATGGACTGAATGTTTGTGTTCCACCAAAATTCAAATGTTGAAGCCCTAATCTCTCATGTGATGGTATTTGGAGGTGGGGCCTTTGGGAAATAATTAGGTCCTAAGAGTGAAGCCTTCATGATGAGATTAAGAAGAGAGATGATCTCTCTCTCCATTATGTTAGGATAAAGCAAAACTAAGGCCATCTGCAAGCCAGGAAGAGAACTTTTACCAGGACTAAGTGGAGTCTGCCTTGATCTTGGACTTCCAGCATTCAGAACTGTAAGAAATAAATATCTGTTGTTTAAGACACCCCATTTATAGTATTTTGCTATAGCAGCCTGAGCAGCATAAGTCCACCTAGCCTCACTCTGCAATGGAAAAATAATGGCTCATGAAGATTGTCACTCCAAACCCTTTGCAAAGGAAGGTACAAATGCCCAAGGCTGCTCATTACATAATTGCTCAGGAACACTGTTTCTCAGGTGTACACAATCCTGCACACTTCCACTGAGACACCTAGTGGTAGGCAGTTCTGTCTATCTGAAGATAAAAAGCAAAACACTATACTCGGTCTTTTGCATTTTAACTCATAAAATGTACAATTGGTTCTTTCTCCAAACGCTCAAAGGCTTTTGTTTATTCTAACTCCTCTTTAAATCATTCCAATGAGGAATAAAAAGAAATCAGACTGTGTAAGCACATTGCCCTGGGTCAAAGTCAGGATGAAATGCCCTCATCTCCTGATCTTTGTACTAACTGACTACTCACTGACCTACTATATTGTTTGAATTATTAATTCTCATGGCTCTTTCAAAATCATTTATTTATAAAACAAAATACTATAGGACATTATCTGAATCTTCAGATTTATTTCACTGCAACTAATTTATTTCAATACATATTAAATATAATTGACTTACATTAAGATATAATGAGTGTAGGCAATGTGCTAGGTCCTAAACGCAGATACAAATGCAGATATAAACATCATAATAGGAATTCAAATGCATAGATTGGAAATTATCAAGATCATTACAAAATGACTGTTCTCTATAAGAAATCCTTTCAAGAAGAGTAACCAACAAAAAAGCTCTGACTACAAAAATACAAGTATACATGGAAAAAGTAATGCAATTCATTGTATCAGAGAAGTTTGGGGGTTTGGGGGAAAGCAGGCATTCTTCAATGAATTAAACGACAATGGAGCTATAAATTAGCACATCCTTTTAATAGGAATAACACCCACACAACAGTTTTATAAATCTCTTCTTTCCAACCAGTGAGAGTAGCCTATACTCTCTGAGGTAAGAAGTCATTGAGTTTCTTTCCTGGTTTTATAAAATAGCAAAGTATGAAATATTTATTAAATATGTTTGTTATTAAATGCTTATCTTCTTTTCAAATGCATTTTTGGAATGACTGTTCTTTAAAAGGGATTTGAACCTTTAGAACTGTTAGGAGCACATGAGGAAAGACTTGGGAACTTAGGAGTATAATTAATATTGTTAGGAGGTACTCGATATGAGTTATGAGTTCATACTACAAATGTTGAGGAATAAGAGCTATAAGTCAGAACGAAAGGGGAGACGGAATTATATTTGACTGAATGACTATACTGGAGAAATTGCAGGTTTGGGGCCATACCATGGGACCCTTACATACTGTTGATAAACTTTCTTGGTAAAAGGATTGTAAACACTACAGAGAGTCAAAACCAAACCTGTCATAAGGCTGAGTGGTATGATTTCCTAGAGCAGAGATCTGTAAACTTTTTCTGTGAAAGATGAAATAATAAATATTTTAGACTTTGCATGCCAGATTGTTTCTGTCACAACTGCTTAACTCTGTCCTTGCAGCACAAAAGCAGCCAAAGACAATACTGTAAAAAAAGGGAGGGTGGGTTTGGATGTATTTCAATAAAACATTATTTACAAAATCAGATAGATAAGTAGAATTTAGCCTACATAGGCTGGGGACGGTGGCTAATGCCTGTAATCCCAGCACTTTGGGAGGCTGAGGCGGGCTGATCACTTGAGGCCAGGAGTTCGAGACCAGCTGCCAACATGGTGAAACCCTGTCTCTACTAAAATTACAAAAATTAGCCAGGTGTGGTGGCGTGCGCCTGTAATCCCAGCTTCTCGGGAGGTTAAGGCACAAGAAATGCTTGAACCTGGGAGGCAGAGGCTGCAGTGAGCTGAGATTGTGCCACTGCACTCCAGCCTGGGCAACAGAGTGAGATCTGTCTCAGAAAAACAAACAACATAAATAGCATTTAGCCTACAGGCTGCAGTTTGTTAACCCCCTGCTGTAATCTCTCAAAATCTTTTCTAGGTGATATACCCACATTAAGACAGTCCTCAGGCCAAACTCATAGATCCCAATTCTTTGCTATTCATTTATCCTCTTCTGAACTTTCTAGAGTCTCCTTTTCTGTTTCTTCCTCCCTCCACGCCCCCATGTGTCTGGAATTGTCAGGTAGCCTTTTCTCAGAAGCCCCGAATGGCTGTATGGGAAGAAATTAGACCTCGATGAGACACACAAAATGATTATCAGGGACTTACCCTGTTTAAGAGAGGAAATATAGTTAGGGGTGATTGCTTAATGCAGAGATTATTATTGAGAATAGTGGGACTCAATAGAGGAGACACTTGGAGGGCCTCAAACACACCAGATGAGAAATAAGCTGAGGGCTACCCCCTGACTCACATAATGGTCACTTTTTAAAAGACCCTTTTATACATAAACAATGTGGCTAAACTATGAAACAAATTACACAATAGAGTCCAGTAAGTGCATAGATTTCTTGCAAATCCTGGTTGGCAATATTACTAGGAAAAGAGGAAACAGAGGAAAATTGCAGAATTTCTTATAACTCATCTTTCACAGCTAGAAACTTTTTTTCTAACAGAATTTAATGAAACATTAAGAGCCACTGTTTCCTGTGCAAGAGTTATAGAACTGGTATGATGCCACAAGGCGGACATAGAAGATTAGGAAAGGAATGTTACCTGATGGCTGCATGTGACGACATCCTGCTGACTCCTGTGAATGACTGCATCAGTCAGGGTCCCACAGGAAACAAGGAGCATGCTCAAACTGGGTAATTGTGGGAAAGTTTACTAAGGGGACTCTTTACAAAGGACATAAGCTGGAAAATCAAGACTAATCATATAATTTATTGTTGAAACTGTGCCACTCTTTTTCGCAGTACTTTGAGTTGCTGTTTTAGGAATGGTGCCACTTTTGAGGGTGAAAGGAAGCTTTATTAATAAATTATTCCAGGACAATGGGTATAAACTGGGTCTAGCACAGCCAAACCATAACTTTTGCAAAGTGGTATATCCCAGGCTAGCAAAAATAAGAAGCTGTTATCACCCCTACCCCTACAAGGACAAAGGGAGGAAACAGTTACAAGAACCTGGCAGGCAGCAAGATGAAAAGATTAACAAACAGGAGCTATGGCCCTCTATAAAGGAAAGCATCCAATCTACAGTGAACCAACAGCTAGAGAGTGGGTGAATTAAAATCCAAACTTCACTGTCTTACTACTTTCTGATCTCTTGCCAATATCTCACATTAGGTGAACCCAATCAGAAGCTGGAGGTCAGGGAAGCCTGTGGATGCAGTCTTTATGGGTCTGCTTCCAAGGTACAAAGCCATATAGGGAAGGACAGAGAGTATACCTAAACAGGAAAATAGAAGATATCCAGCATAGTAAATATCCTTGCAAAGTATCCAAAACTGAAACTATCCTTTGGCTCTGACTTCTTCCAAAACTCTTTTTGAAGCATTCTAAGAAAGCTTGACTACTACATTCTTCTTGAACAACTTTCTCCCTATTCATGTCCTATCATGTTGTAGGAAAACAGTAAAGTAAGCAAGAACTTTTATCCCCAACTGGCTGGGAGTAAGACTGTTTCTTCACAGAGCAATGAATGTAAACACGAGGTTTACATGAATATATTTAGTGTCCTCACTCTCCATTTCAAAAAGATCTGGAAACATTTCACAGCCATGGGCTGATTATGAAGGTATCATCAGCCTGGGAATAAAATGAAATAAAAAACTTGTTTTTCACATTTATCATAGGAAACTCCTTCACTCCACTTTCTGGTTCACAAATGTTCCCAAGAGATCTTAGAAGAAATGTGGAGTCTGGTGAACCAAATCAGTGGTTCAGACCAACAGCCAATCTGCATGAGCATAAATATAAAATGCAAAGGAAATAGGCAAAATAAATATGACTTTCAGGGGTGAACACTAGCCACTTCTCCTTACATAAATACCATCCTTGGCTATAAACAATTAAGGTAGAATATGAAAAAGGAAACAATGTCCACCTCTGAAAGTGTGACACTCTCTTTTATATGAGCATATGAAAACCAAGAGGTAGAATGATTTTATGACTTGTGTCCTGGAGGATCCAGAGCAACACACTTTACTTTCAAGACCAAAGAACACCCTTCTGCTAGGGAAAGTCCATTATTACCCTTTCTAAATTATTATCAAGCTAAAATTGGTGTCATTGACTTTTCTTACTCCAAAGAGAGAGATCTCCCCTATCTCATCAATAACCTCTCTGATATCCCTTCCATTTTTTTAAATCCCATAATTATATTATTGAATAAGGTAAAAAAAAAAAAATAGCAGTCTTCTTTTGGCAGCTATTTTTCAAACCCAAACTGAGTTTTGCATGAGTTCTAGGCTACTTTAAATATTCAGAACAGTTCAAGGAAAAGGAGGAAAGACATAAATTTAAAAAGAAAGAGGGAAAGACTAAGGGAATAAAAGAAAGAGTGGGAAGCATTACTAAAACAAGAAATAAAAGTATTAAGAAAATTAATGAATGATTTATCTTCTGAGTGAGGGTAGGAGAAAAAAGAGCTATGTCATGGATCATTTTCTGATCCATCACATGGGTGAGAGTATTGCCTAAGCTTCCTGAGTAATCGCAGAGTGTTACAAATGATCTCACTTCTATTTCCATATAGAAGATACGCCATTCTTCACCTAACCTAGGATTTCTCAAACTAGGTACGTAGATACTGTTCACTCCTTCAGCATTTGCACAAATGAAAAGAGAAGGAAAACAGGAAGATTTTCAGCTCACCCTGAATTTTCACAGAGGGCCGTGGTCTGAATTGTTGCCCCAGGTGAGACAGAAGTAGATTCCAGGAAGACAGCAGCAAAGAACTAGAAAAAGAAGTCTTTATAGAGAGGTTCTTTTAATGGAAAAGAATTTGCTTCCTGACAATGATCTTCATAGAAGGTTAATATGCTTAAGCATATTGAGAATTCATTGAATGTCTATTACATGTAGTACAGAAGACAGCCCTATTGTGGTTATGATGATGACCATTAGCTTAAGAAAAATTGCCTTTCATGATGAATTTGTATGTGGTAGAGCTTGTCGTAGTCTACCCCTTGTAGTGGCTGTTTGGAAGCTCAGAATTCACTTTTGAGATCAATTGTTGTAATTCTCCAGTTTTTAGTAATGTTTTTCTATAGTCTTCCCTGCACCTGATTCTAAGCACCTTATTCCTTTGTTCCATTCTCTTGTCTCGCTTTGACTGTTTTTTTACCTTTTGGCACCAATGTATTTATTGCAAATCACTTCAAATGCTACTGGAAAGGTAAATAGTGAACAAATGAACTGCTATAAAACATTACCTACTTTTAAAGAACTCACAATCTAATAGATAAGGTTGAAAAGCATTATTGAAATGTTAAGTAATCTATAGAAGTCATAGAAAGAAGTCGAAAATAGATATGGCTTACAGGATAATGAGGTCGCATCCGGGTAGGAGACCACTTTTGGAGACATCCAATAAGATGAACGTGGAAAGACACGAAAATCTAACATCTCAGATTGGGAAGAAGAAAGCCCAGAGCATATTTAGAGCATATTACCTTCAGATACCATTTGCTGGAAGCCTAGGAGAATCAAGGAAATAAGGCTGGAAAGACAGCCTGGAGCCAATGCAGGAAGGATAATTGTAAATCTCAAAACAACCTTAAGTAGGTTGTTTTGCCATAACTTTTTGAGCAGAAAAGTAATATAATCCAGATGATCCAAGAGGTCACACAATTACAGATAAGGAAATTGCAGGCAACAGAAACAAGTGTTTAGCAATGTTTTAACAGATAAAGAGACACCTAGGATGCCTTAGGAGGAGACACTCTGCCTACCTCATCTCAACAAAGACTCTACATAGATCATAGACACAAGGGGTTTTTAAAAGAGAAAACAAAAGAAGGGAGGCAGCCTGGTTATATACCTCCAGAAGAATGCAAGTCAAACCTCAGTGCAGGCTGCTTTCTGCTGTTCTTGCCCCCATCAGCAATCAAGAAATGAAGCTGAAGGTTATAGTGGGTACTCACACTCTCTGGCCCTACAGCAAGCCACTAGAGGGGAAGGCATGTGAGGTGAGGGTGACAGAAGCAGCCACCATGCCCTTTCCTTTGTCTCTTGGAGATATCCAGCCCAGTGAAGAAATCTGGGTTTAGCTCCTGTCTGCCTATGCAATGTCCAGCTGCCGACCAGAATCATCTCTGATGTCACAACAGATGAATCAGATTTTGACATCATCCCACAATACCCCGAGGAGTTGGTGATGGGGGAAGAATGGACTTCTTTTTCAATGAATGCTGTGGTGACTTCAGTACAACACATGAAGAATTCCAGAAAAGGGCTACTTTTGAAGTCAGCGGTGAATCAGAGGTTTTCTGACCCTCTCCAGTGCCTTCTATGAAAAAGAGTTCAACTCTGGCTCCAGTTTGTCCCTTACGCTTTTCCGGAATCCCTCGACTTTCCCTGCTCTTTTTCCCGGGCACGTATGGCCTGTGACATTTGCTGGGACTTACACACGGCGTCCAACCTCCTTGCTCCCAGCGATGACTCCTAGGAACTTCCCTAGTACCAGAGCGATGCAGGCTCTGACACGCGAGGGCGGGGGGCGGGGTGGGGGTGGGGAATGAACGGGGAAGCGGAAGGGAAGGAGAGAGAGAGGGGACCTGGGTGTAGAGAGGGCCCAGGGCAGCATGAGCCAGGCTAGGGCGGAGCAGGGGGTTCGTCTCAGCAACGTGATCAGTGTCAGCCTTTCCCTCCCTTCAACGCTCCATTGGTGCTGCTGGAACTCGGAAGACTGCTAGACAGACATCCTCCAGGGCGCACTCCCTGACTGCGCTTTTAAGCACTCCTTTCTGGATCAACAATAGTTTGCTAGCACAAATCTGAGCCCGCCATCTCGTTGCTTCTCCTGTCTCTAAAACCTGTGCCCGCGCTCAGGCCCCAGGTGACAGACGTTTTCCAGTCTACGCTGTGCGCGGCTAAGCCTCTGGGAGGCAGAGCTCACGAAAGCGTGCGCCGCCTCTGGGAAAGCTGAGCTCAGGACAGCATCCTCTCCTTGTGCTCACCGCTACGCACCCAGCAGAGCGGTCTCCTCAGGTTTAACGCTGGCTTTAAGAGTGGGACTGTGAAGGTGGCTGGGCACTGGAATTTGTGGTTTTAAAAGTTCTTGACACTACTAGAAAGTGCTAGAGGACCCTTCAGCCCCTAAGGTGACCCTAGTCACCAAGAGTAGGCGCTTTTTCTGAAATTGATATGAGAATTTGAAAAGTAGGATTTTTGAGAACAAGGCACATCAGATCTTTCCCCATTTATTTCAACCTCTTATCGTTCCTGCCCCTAAGGTTCTGGTTACGGTTGCACATTTAATGCTTTCACATGGAAGTGCTGTTGAAGACTGAGACTGCACCCACCCTCCAAAGCATCCCATAAGTAAGCACAGTTTCTTACTAGCCAAGGAGAAGGGAAAGCATTAGTTGAAGGCGGCCACACGAAATTCTCAGATGTTCAGGATGCACGGGACAGTATGCAAGGACCCCAAATCCTTACAGTGGCTGCTGGTTTCAGAAGGTGTTTCTCCCAAATAATAGAAAGGATTGGTCACTGAAACACCCTGTGGGAGAAAGACACTGGTATCCATTTCTTAAAGGACATTAACACATATGAAGAGTTTAGGGCAAAGTAAAAAGGAGGAAGGTGAGGGAAATTCCTGATGACTTTACTAATGTTAAAATTCCATAGATTTAGCTACTCCTTTTTTTTTTTTTTTCCTTTCACATCATCAATTCAGAATTCTATAAAGGAAGAGAATGACATGGTAGAAAATCATTGGCCTAGGAGGAAAGAGCCCGTAGGCGTTTAGGTGTTATATATCTGCAGCCAGAATGCTCTGGAGCATCAGGGAGACTCCAACTTAAGACAACAGCATGGGTGAATAAGGGCTTCCTGGGGACTGGAAATGAGAGGAAAATCTGGTGCTTGAGCACTGGCCCCTAAGGCAGGCCTTACAGATCTAGAGGCAATTCAGCCTTGGTGGGAAGACTTTAGTATGAAACTGGGGTGGAATTGGGTTTCCACGTACATTCCCTTTTGCCTTACTATGTGTTCTGTCAGTTTCTTTCAGGAAATTCTTCATCTTTCAACTTGTAGGGCTGGTGCTAACTTACGACTTCACTAACTGTGACTTTGAGAAGATTGAAGCAGACTATCTCAGTACTATTTCTAAAGACCTGATTACATATATGAGTGGGGTAAGTGAAGAAACTTTTTTAAAACGAATGTATTTTCATCAGAACAGTAGGCATACACACACTCTACAATTTAACTTTGTAGGGAAGAAAAATAATTTAGAAAAAATCATGGTCCCACATTTTGTCAAGAATTCTTACAAGTGGCATCTAAAATGATTATCTAGAAATTGGCACATTCTAAGTGTGCAGATGCTGATGAGGAGCAGGTATTGATAGGCAGAGCATTATGCATCAAGGATGTCTATCCTCTGCTAAAGTGCTGCTCTGACTATGCTGTAAAAAGACAGCAGGGGAAAGAGCTTAAGAAAGAAGAGTAAAAGAGCGATAATTCTCATGAGCTAAACTTTAAGGGTTGATGCTGTGCTCCAGGTCTCTCCAGTGTTTTAGATGTTTCAGGATGCTACTTATTACAGAATATGGTGTACTTGGAATTTTTTAACATACAGTAGTAATCAGTTTCCTGATTAACCTAATTTCTAGATAGAGTTTGCATTCATGAATGGCCACAGTACAGATGTGGACATCCAAAGAATGGCATTATTACTCACCAGCATAGTGCTATGTGCAGTCGTGGCTTGAGGGAAAGGAGCAGGAAGTCTCCCTCTGAGACCTGAACCTTTTGGTGTGGTTTCAAGCACTAGCCAACACTATCTAAAGACTATTTCACTGCCTTGTCAATGACATAGGAAACAGGTACCTGAGTGGAAACTGTTTTCAGAGTACCTTTAAAGCCTGGGAGCAAAGGGTGGAGGGATGATTTTCCTTGTGGACTTAAAAGTCTTTACCTTCCTTGTCATATTTTTCTTTCTTCCAGACCAAAAGTACCTACTTCAACAACACCGTCTCCTGTAGCAATCGGGTGAGTAGAGAGGTCAGTGCTGCTGGCTTTCTCCAGGGAGACGCCAGGCATTTTGGAGAGGGAGTATCCTGCGATGTGCAGAACCCCGAGAGGTGCCTGGGCTCCGGGACGCCGCTGCCGGGGATAGGGGACATCTGGGTTGCCAGCTCGGGGCTGCTCCCAGCTTGTGACAACACTTCTGTTCCAATTTAGGGAGAGGAAGTCCCTATCGGGAGGAAAGGCAAATTGGGAACTGGGATGAGGGAACTTTGTCGGGGCACCACCTGCTGGGGTCCGGCGCTCCGCGCTTGGGCTCGGGCTTTTGGCGGCCTCCGCCCCCTGGAGACTTGGGCGGAGCGAGCGTGGGTGAAAGTCTTTTCGGACCAGTGCCCTCCGCCACCCTCGCCACGCCCCTGCTCCCCCACGGTTGGTTCTTCCTTGCTCTACTCAACCATGACGACCTCTTCGCTCTTACTCTCGACTTGTGTACCCGCTCCTCCCCGACCTTCCTTCGCTCGCCTTTCAGTCAATTCTCACCAACTCTCTCTCTCTCCTTTTTTTCTTTCTGGTGTTTTCTCCTTTTCTCGTAAACTTTGCCGCCTATGAGCAGCCACACTGCCTTACTGAAATCCAGAGCCTAACCTTCAATCCCACCCCCCGCTGCGCGTCGCTCGCCAAAGAAATGTTCGCCAGGAAAACTAAGGCTACCCTCGCTCTCTGGTGCCCAGGCTATTCGGAAACTCAGGTAAGCCCGAAGCCTCAGACGCTTGCTTTGTACCTTGGGACTAACCTCAAATTAAACTGGGGCTTTGGTGCAGAAGTCGTTCTCTGATTTTTATTTAGGTTTTATCTTTCGAAGAACAAATGAACCGGGTAAAAGTAGTAGGATGTCAATTAGACCCACGTTAATACCCGGACTCAAACTCACCTATTTCTAGGGTTCTGATACTGTTTTGGCTGAATTATGGTTCTAAACCTTACGGCAATGTTTCAAGGTATGTTGAGTGAGCCTCCTATATCAGAATGTTTTGATTGCTGGAGCATAAGAGTATGGCTGTTAAAAATGCCAATTCCCGGGGACTCAACCTAGACCTTCAACATCAAAATCTCAGGTTATAGGGCTACTTAAGAGATTCTTGTCCAGTCCAAAGTTTGAGCAACACCGCTTGTTCTAATCACTTAATTATTGTGTGCTTATTTACTAAAACGTTACATTATACAAAAAATCTCTATCCTATGTTTGCTTAATTGCTTGTATGGATGCTGTTGCTGTCTCTTTACATATTTTTGCACAGGTAGTTATCTGCATTTGAATGCTTGTGTAGCATTAAATATGGACATAGTATAGTGGAAAGTTAGGTGTAGGAACTCTGGAGACAACCTGCCTGACTTTGAATCCTGGCCGTATAACTTCTGTGAAGACTTAGTTAAATTACTTAGCCGCTGTGTACTATAGCTTCATGGGTAAAGTAAGTATCATATCAGTTAGTCTTACATAGGTTGTTTATGAGGATTAAATTAGTCAATACGTGTAAATGCAGTTGGAACAGTGCCTGGTACACAACAGGCACTCAATATTTATTTCAGTCAGCAAGTAGAGAATTTATCTTCAGGATGACAAGTTTAAGAAACAGAGAGAGACAAGTGCAGATATGTATGATTGCTCCTTATTAATCTAGTGGACTTTATATGTCTGCAATCTAGGTAGATGGACAAGACTGCCTTTTTTTTTTTTTTTTTTGACAGAGTCTCGCTCTGTCACCCAGGCTGGAATGCAGTGGCACAATCTCAGCTCACTGCAACCTCCGCCTCCTGGGTTCAAGTGATTCTCCTGCCTCAGCCTCCCGAGTAGCTGGAACTACAGGCGCCCCCCACCACGCCTGGCTAATTTAAGTATTTTTAGTAGAGACAGGGTTTCACCATATTGGCCAGGCTGGTCTTGAACTCCTGACCTTGTGATCTGCCCACTTTGGCATCCCAAAGTGCTGGCATTACAGGCGTGAGCCACCATGCCCGGCCAAGACTGTCACTTTTTAGAGATTGAGGATTGAAGCCATAGGGCTGATCTGGGTTGAGCTTGAATTAGAAACTCAATACCAGACAGCCATATGAGAAATCTATTTGGCTTCATGCCTTCTTTTGAAGGAGTGACTGGCAAATCTACAGATGGCCACAATAAAATTCATTCAAATAAGAGCACAAACAAAAAACTAGATCAAGTTCTTGGACAGCAGGTGAGAAAGGGAGAGTCTGGAGAAATTTATTTCAGTCACCTCTCAAGCCCAAATGGAGAGTCTAAGACTAATAATAGTTATGATTTTATAGATTTTTGTAAGATTTGTGCTTGATAACCCTGTGACTTTATTAATCTGCATACCATGTGTCTAGGAGGCCCAGTGTACTATTCAAAGGTAATTCAGATAAAGTTATATGCTGGAATCCTCTTTAAAATAAACCTTCAGATGTCTGTGGCATATCTAGACAGTGGGGCAGGGGAGGGGGAAGGATGGGGAGCAGGAGCATGCATTTTGGGTTCAAAAAAGAGATTAGGTTTACTGAATTACGTCTATAAGGAGGTATAAGATAGCTCTTACCCATGATGAACTTGTGATCTTGTCAGGGAGATCTTGAAATCAGCAATTTATTCATTTATTTAATCACTCAACAAATATTCAGTGTTTCCTATGATTAAGACTCAGTGCTATGGGGAATACCTATGATGCAATATAAAGAAAAGCATGTTAAGTGAGAGCCAAGTTAAATGACACATACTCTTAAGCACTGGAAGACTTTCCAAAACCAAGGTCTGAGCAATTATAGGAGGCTTTCTGAAGGAGGTGGTGGTTGGCCTTGAAGTAAAAGTAGGTGGGTAGAGAAACAGGAATTCATTCCCCTGGAGAAGGCACATACTAGCACATAGTAAGCAGGTGCTTTGGATATATACTGAACAATGGATTTGCATAGAGAAGGCAATAAAACCTGCACTCAACAGTTACTAAAGATAGTGAAAAGTAATTTTGACTATTGATTCTCATATTCTACAGATAAATGCTACTCAGGCAATGAAGAAGAGGAGAAAAACGAAAGTCACAACCAATAAATGTCTGGAACAAGTGTCACAATTACTAGGATTGTGGCGTCGCTTCATTCGAACTTTACTGAAAAAACAGTAAATCATCTTTATTATGGTCATATTTCACAGCACCAAATAAATCATCTTTATTAAATAGATGAAACATTAACTCTAACTGTGGTGCAGAAGATCACAAATAGTTATCTTTTAATTACAGAAGAGTTTCTTAACTTATTTTTCTAAGTTTTTATTGTTTAATATAAATTTATAATGCAGGGGAAGTACTACTCTTCAAATGTTGAGGGAAGCTTCCGTAACATTGATGACTGGCTTAATTGGCAGTAATTCTCAGCCGTAATTGCATAAGCATTACTCAAGAGGAAAATCCAAAAGTGTAGCAGGAGAACTCTTTTCCTTGAAAAAGGAAAAATATTGAACTAAATGATAGCACCTAAACTTACGTTTAGAAGGCAGACATTCCTTCTACATGTAATGATACTTCTTGTGTTAAACTAAAAATTTACAAGAGAAGAAAGTGAAAGCAAATGGGGTTTCACAAATAGCTGTAAATATAGTGAAGCAATTTGAAATAATTTTCAAGCAAAATATTGTGAAAGTATTCTACGCTAAGTTTTAAATATTACCTAACAGACAAGAGTGGTATATAATAAGTAGATCCTGAGAAGTACCTTTGTTATAGCTACTATAAATATATATAGAGAGAATGTACTTTAATTTATTTTGTGAATGCTTTTGAAAATGTATATGTTCCTTTGTAATTGACACTATATATTTCTTAATAAAATAATTCTCAAATTTGTTTCTTACGAATCATCTTTCAAATCTAGTTAGTAGACAATTTGCACACATACTTTTCTAAAGGACATTATTTTTCTTCAGGTTTTTACCTCTACTTATCCTTAGAGTCCATTGACTGCTCCCCTTTATACCTGTTGGCCCTGCCTATAGGAGAAAATATTTGGAGATAGGCAGCTTCAGGATGCATTGCAGTCATCCTTTTCTTAAATTATGTCACTAGTCTTTTCTTGTTTCCCCTCTTGAACTTTCCTCACACCTGGAAGAAACAAAGTAGGCAAAAGTGAACAGGGGATGTCAAATCTGTTCTTGAATTCCTGCTGCAAGCTAGAGCCATAGGCACCCTCTCACTCACCTTCCACTCAGAATCCTCCAAACACCAGTGGGAAGGGCAACCCTGGCCATAGAACCTAGACCAAAATAGAGCATGTGGGAATGCACTGATTTTTCCTAGGAGTAGATATGCTCCTCTAATACTCCCCTGAGGGTTAGTTGGGGCTAAACTATGACAGAAGGGGGGAAGTTCAATGTCCTTAAATCCATCTTACCTACCAACAGGTAAGAGGAAGCTTACATTATATGTCCAGTAAGCATTTAAAGGGCACTTACTGTGGAACAAGCCTTCAGTCAAACACTGGGGATAGAAAAGAAAGACTCAGCCTTTTTCCAGAGAAGCTCAGGGTGTAGCTGAATAGGCAGTTTCTTTTGTCCTGAGGAAAATCAAGACATGCCTTTCTAAAAATCTTCCTCTGAAGACCTGACCCAAACCCTTAAATGCCATTACAAGAGAAATTTCTTTAAGTATACTAACTCCATTTTAGTAGGGATTCACTGACTAGATTTTACTGAACTATGAAAATAAATACACACAATTTTTCATAAAATTTTGGGCCCAATTCCCCTAAATGAATTGAGGATTAGGGAGAAAGGAGACAACTCAAAGTCATCCCATTAAGTGCAGTTTCTTTGAATCTTCTGCTTTATCTTTAAAAAATTGTATAATTTATATATTTTATTCTATGTATTCCACAGATGTCTTAATATAAAATTAGTCATTTAAATTACACTGTCAATTAAAAGTAATGGGCAAGAGGATGCATTATATTAATTTAGTAAGAACTTTCCCAAATGTTGTAACAATGTGGATCATATATCTCTGTTTTTTTAAATATACTCAGGCTTTCTTGGTGGACTAGTATAGTATACAGTCAGTTATGTCAATGTTTCATGGTCAATAAAAGGAAGTTGCAAATTGTGATTTAAGCATATAAAGTTGGATATTTTCATATTGAGACTACATGGTTAGTTATGCTATTTATATAATCTATATTCTCACTTTTGTCTCCTTCATTCAGAGGCTAAGACTGCTGTATGAAAGTCTACTGCTGGCCAGGCGTGGTGGCTTACGCCTGTAATCCCAGCACTTTGGGAGGCCAAGGCAGGCAGATTGCAAGGTCAGGAGATTGAGACCATCCTGGCTAATACAGTGAAACCCCGTCTCTACTAAAAATACAAAAAATTAGCTAGGCATGGTGGTGGGCGCCTGTAGTCCCAGCTACTTGGGAGGCTAAGGCAGGAGAATGGTGTGAACCCGGGAGCCGGAGCTTGCAGTGAGCTGAGATTGGGCCACTGCATTCCAGCCTGGGCAACAGAGCAAGACTCCGTCTCAAAAAAAAAAAAAAAAAAAAAAAAAAAAAAACAAAATACAAGAAAGTCTACTGCTGATATAATTCTTTATTTCTTTGTATCCATAAAGTTTTGCTTTCTTGTTACTGATATGGTTTTCCCTTACCTTTATTTTGATAAGGATAGAATGAAAAATTGATATTTGATTCTTAAAAGTTAAAGGAGCTTTTTTTTTTCTTTTTTAACAAAGAACATTGACAAAGAACTTTACCAGCATATAGAGTTGCCTCCTTTGACAATAAAAGGAGGGGCTTAGTCCTGTCTTGGTCAACATTTTTTCAAAAACTGAATTAAGCAAATGCAGCTTTAATACTTCTATAAAGAAAAACAAACTATATATTTTTATTTTTAGATGCTAATTTTCACACATTTCTCCAAAATTCACATAGACTTTTGCTAGGTTGTAATTAGAAGGCAAACAAACACCAAATCTCACTGGCTAGCAACAACAGTTAATTCTCACTCACATTACAAACTGGCAACCTCAAGTCAGCTGCAGGCTTTATCTACAGACCTTCTCATTTCAGGACCCAGGCTGAAAAAGCAGCTCCTATTTGAGACATACCTTTCTCTTTTGGCAACAGAAAAGAGCAAGAGAGTTGGTAGAAACAGATAATGGCTCTTCAAGCATCTGCTGGGACTTGCTGAACATCATGTTTGCTTATATGCACTGGCCAAAGTAAGTCAAACGCTTCCTATTCCTGCTCCACCATGAAGGATTTGCTGCAAGTCTTGGGCAAAGGACAGAGAGACACATCTTCTTACAGGAGGAAGTTTAAATATTGGAGATGCTAAAGTACACAACTCATTACTTTGGGAGGGAACATGACTAACATAAAAAAAGAGAGAACATTCCACATTTTTAGCATTTTATTAAATGTAACTTTTTTTTTAAACAAATGTTTATTAAGCACCCCTTTTGTTCCAGATACTGTTCTGGGTGCTTGTTATGTATTAATGAACAAAACAGAAAAAAAAAAAATATTCTCTACCTTTATGGAGCTTACCCACTAAACTATTAAAATAAGCCTAATAAATAAGTTAATAGTACAGTGAGATGTTCTTTTCCCCTCTTTTTTAAGTTAAATAACGTTTACAAATAATTAGCAACTTGTTCACTTTTAAGTCATACCACAAATATGGCTGAAAATGTGCACTGCTACTGAGAAATCCGGGGTACAAATGAAATCACAAGTAAGTACAACATGTCAAGGACTAAATAACAAGCTCTCATTCTGCTATCATCTGCTTCTTAATGATCTTAACATCCAAAGTGTTTGAGGCTCTGTGCCAGAACTATAAAATAAATCAAGAATTTTTTTTTGTTCAAGAGTGTATGAGTCAGATATTCAAATTAGCTAACAAGTTACTTTTGTTTCATAATAAAATAATTACATTTTAGAACTGGAAGGAACCCAAGAGAGTACACTGATCTGTGTAGAGACAGACCCTCCTTATCCCTTTCAAGCACAAGTATATTTACATTAGTAAATATACCCTCTTTATCCCTCTCAAGTACAAGTATATTTACATTAGTCACTCAACCCAAATCTGAATAGGCTGCCAAAACATTTTCATAAACGAAGTGAAATGGAAATAAAACAGTAAGATAAGAGGTTATTCCATATGTCAAACTTTGGTCCTGGGCTCTAACGTCACCACTGTTTTAGTTAACGTTCACACGATCAGAGATTGTTCCCCAAACCTACATCTTGGTAAGGCAGTTGGCTCTCGAGGAGTGAGGTGTCTTGACACCCACTTCGCTGGAATCAGTCTTCTTCAGCATCCTAAGGCACTTAGCTCTAATGAACTGCCCAGACTCCCCTTTGCATTATGATGAGCTCCTCTTTAGAACCCCTACTGTCTGCTTTTGACAGCCGACCTCAAGGAATACTGACTTAATCCAGGGGTCCCAATAACATTTAATATTTACCTTCCTTTTCTCGGAGGAATCTACAGTTATCCAAGTTGCCCAAGTGAGCAGTTCCCTTTCCCCAAATAATTAGTTCTACTCCCCAGAGAGTCTATGAGTGAATCCCTCTGTCACCTTTGAAATGTCCCATTATAGTTTTCATCTGTAAATATGTCAGTATATATCCAAAAGATGAGGATCTTTACGTAATCAAAATGCTACTATCACATGCAAAAATTAAACATAATTCCTTAATATAATCAGATATCCAATGTTTAAATTTTTCCAGTCTCATGTTTTTGTACATTTTAAAATAATCACATGTTTAAATCGTTTCCATGTCCAAGGCGTCGATCTCTCCTCCACTCTCCTGGGCGTCGCGCTTCCCTCTTTGCTTCCCGCCCTTGCGGTTCCGTCGGAACCTCAGGAGCTTCCTTCCGCCGCAAAAGAGCTGGAGAACAATGCTAGGCAACATGCTGGAGACCTTGGCCAACGGAACCAAAGTCACGCCTCCCATGTGAGCTCTGGAGGGAGAACTTTATGTGTTGCACTGAGGGCAGTCTCCGGAAACGCGATTCGCAGCGGGCGCCGGAAGCGGTCTTCTGTCTTCAGCTCTAGCAGATGACTGTTCCACTAGACACGCTGAAGGGACTGGATACGTGTTTTCCTTCAGGACCAGAGCTGAGCGGAGCCGGGATCGCGGCGGCAATGGAACGGGCCTCAGAAAGGCGCACGGCCAGCGCGCTGTTTGCGGGGTTCCGGGCCTTGGGATTTTTCAGCAACGACATTCCACACGTGGTGCGGTTCAGCGCGCTCAAGCGCCGGTTCTATGTAACAACCTGCGTGGGCAAGAGTTTCCACACCTATGACGTGAGTGACTTCTTTCGTTGACTTCCCCGGAACCACCCTCCTTGGCCCCTAACTCTGTCTCGGAGCAATCCGGTTCACCCTTACCATCTACCACGGGCTTCCCTTCTTTAACCCCTCCCTGTCCTATTAATATTTCGCCATCCGGTCACATCCACGTGCTGATTTAGCACTTGCAGTCCTCCTGGGTCGAGTTTCAGAGGCAGTCTGGCCAAGGGGAAACTGCTTGATAACCCCTCAGTTGTATGGCAATAATACTTGTTCAGTGAATATTTATTGACCTTCCCTTGAAGGTGGAAACATAATTAAGACAAACCTCTACCTCTTGCATTCTTAATGAGAGAGAAAAACATGCACGCTATTACGTTATTGGTGACACGAGCTGGGTTAGAAATTCACTCTAGGTAACATTGGGAGAACCGCAGGTGGTGAGATAAATTACCGTTAGGGAAAGTATTTGATAGCAATCAGTTATTTTCAACTAATGCAAAGTGTCTGGCACTGTCACTCTAAGCCTTGCAGCCGTTTCTTTGCAAGATAGGTATCGTTATACCGTAGCACCTTTATATAAACTACAAAAGTAAATTTCAGATAAATTACTTGTTAGTGTTGATTTTTTTCTCCTTTAATGGCTCATAAATCATTGTAATAGTGTCTCTTGTTTACTTGTTTCTTTTGTCTTCTCCAAAAGAGTGTAAGCTCTGTGAGAGCAGGAACCTTGATGAGGATGATAATAGTGTTAAATAAGTACTTTATTTTCTGGAAAACATGTTGTAGAGTTGTCTCTCTTGGAGGATTGTGAATGGCTTATTAGCAAGAAGAGCTGGGAGTTAGGAACCAGTTGAGTTAGTGGAAGAGGAAAGTGAGGGCAGAGCTGAGGTTAAGAGCAATTGGGTTTCTCAGAGTCTGAGTTGGTAATGGAGACAAGATGGGTTAGAACCATATCATTAAGATATCATGTGAGAGTATTTAGTGTTACCATTCTCTACACTTGTTCCTTGCTTGCTAAGTTTTACTTCCTTGAAATGTAATTTTTCTAAGTTTATTACTTAAATAACTCTTCAAATCTTGTCTTTGTTACAGTGTCTTTCCTGACACTGCGTTACGCACAGACACAGGTGTTTTTCCCTATATTCAACTTCCAAAGAAACCCTGTGGTGAGGAGAGTAACATATTTGCACATTTTATAAAGTTAACAATTTACTTACTGTGCATTGACATTTAGTCATAATAAAGATGGCTTTTAACGTCTCGTCTAGTGCTAACACTGATGATACATTCGTAACATCATGGCATGTAAATGTTCTTTACCCAGACTGTACACTACTCAGATTAACCAATGCATTGGGCTATGACCTCTGAAACAGAAAATACTTGGGAGTAAAAAGAAAAAAAAAAAAAAATGGAGCTAATGAACCTAAGTCACTAATTGGGTCTACAAGTGCTCTATCCCATGACTATGGCTGTATATGCTGTCCCCAGTCAGACTTCCTACAGTCCTACAGATTAGTTTCTTCTGCAGGGGAAACTAGACAAGTTGTGAATAGGTGGTGATAGTGATGGTAGCAGCTATCATGTATTGAGCAATTACTATATGACTGAGCCCATTCTATTTTACACAAATTTATTCATTGAATCCTCATAACAATCCCATAAAGTAAATAAATACCTGTTTTACAGATGAAGAATTTGAGGCACAGGGAACTTATTTTTCCAGGGTCATACAGCTGGATCAGTAGCCATGATTGGGGTCAGCAAATTACAGTCTGCAAGCCAGTCTAGCCCACTGCTTGGCTTTGTATGACCCAGGAGTTATGAATGATTTTGACATGTTTAAATGTTTGTGGGGGTAGGCTGGGGGTGGGGAGAAGGATATTTCATGACATGAAAACTATGTGAAAATCAAATTTCAGTACCTATAGGTAAAAGTTTGATATACCCGTGCACATTATTTATGTATTAAGTATGACTGTTTTCATGCTATGGTGGCAGAAGCTAGTAGTTGCAACAGAGACCACATGCATTGCCTGCAAAGCCTAAAATAGTTAATATTTGGCCCATTATAGAAAACATTTACCTACCCCTTCCATTACCACTCCTGGTGAAATATAGTTGAAAATATAAACTTCCCTAGTAATGAAAATTAGAGTCAGTAAGTGTCTTTCTTACGAAGGACAGCATAGCAAATATACGTGTGAGGTTATAGCTTACTCTTCAGGTGTTAGGTTATTATGATTGTGTTTGTTAATGAAAATTTAACCTTTTTTCTTTTTTTAAACAGGTTCAGAAACTTAGTCTGGTTGCAGTAAGTAAGTATGGACTTTATTCTGAATTTATGCACATCTAAAAAAATTTTTTTTATTTTGACATAAATTTGAGACTTACAGAACATATAAGGAAGCCAGGGTAACATGTATGTCTTATAAACTTACATTATCCGCAACAAAAAAGGGTGCCAGGATAGAATCATGTTTTGCTTTCAGTTGTTACGTATCTTTATTTTCTTTAATCTGGAACGGTTCTTTGGACTTTCTTTGTGCTTGATGACATTGACACATTGACATTTTTGGAGTACAGGCTCATTTAGAATGTCCTTCAGTTTGAAATTTTTTGACATTTCTTCAGGATTAGATTCAGGTTGTACCCGTTGGGAGGTATCACGGTGAATTGTATCAGAAGGCACATGCTGTTGGTTGGTTCTGTTCCTGATAGTGATTGGTTAGGAGGCTCTATTTTAAAGTTAGGCCGGTCGCGGTGGCTCACACCTGTAATCCCAGCACTTTGGGAGGCCGAGGCAGGTGGATCACGAGGTCAGGAGATCAAGACCATCCTGGCTAACACAGTGAAACCCCATCTCTACTAAAAATACAAAAAATTAGCCAGGTGTGGTGGCAGGTGCCTGTAGTCCCAGCTACTCAGGCGGCTGAGGCAGGAGAATTGCTTGGATCCAGGAGGTGAAGGTTGCAGTGAGCCAGATTGTGCCACTGCACTCCAGCCTAGGTAATAGAGTGAGACTCCGTCTTGAAAAAAAAAGAAAATTTAAAAAAAAATTAAGTTAGTGTTTTGTCCTTTGTAACGGATAAGTATCTTTTGGTAATATGCACTGGGACTATGTAAATATCCTAGTACTCTTCAAAGTTATTACCTGCTGCTTTTAGTATTTTATGATGATACTTGCCTGAATCAGTTATTAATATGATGGTTGCCAAATGCATGTTGATTATCCTTAATCCAAAAATTTGAAACCCAAAATGCTCCAAAGTCTGAAACTTTTTGAGATCCAACATGATGTTCAGAGGGAAATATGCATTGGAACATTTCTGATTTCAGACTTTCAGATTAGGAATATTCACCTGGTTATGCAAATAGTCCAAAATCCAAAAAAATCTGAAATCTGAAACACTTCTTGTCTCAGGCATTTCAGATAAAGCATAGCTTTTAGTGATTTTCTTTTTCCATCATTCCTTCTACTGTAAGGAAAAGTTTTCCCTTTTCTCACATTTTGGTATTTCTTTCCAATGGAAAGAATTTTAATAATAGATTAGAAGGCAGAAGAAAGGCATTGGAACTTAAGTTGAATACAAAATTGAATGATAAATCTATAAAACAGGATTATGCAAACAAATCCTAATATGGAATTTGCAGCATGAAAGTACAACAATCCTCTGTCTACTAACTCTCCTGCCCCAAAAGAGGAAATGGAAATGTAAGTGTGACCAGGATACTGAGAAAAGAATCATATGTCACGTGAGAAATGCTAAAGATTGATAGGCATATTTCTCTTGGAGAAGACTGTAGAAACAATATTGTCTTTAAATGTTTTAGGAGTAGGCATATAGAATACCATATGGAATATTTTTGGGTTGGTCAAAAGTTAGATTTAGATTTTGAGTTACTTTTAAAATTTTTCTGGAGTTATTAGTGAACTTGATGTTCCAGAAGATATTCACGTGGGTCAGGCGTGGTGGCTTATGCCTATAATCCCAGCATTTTGGAAGGTTGAGGTGGGCAGATCACCTGAGGTCAGGAGTTCAAGACCAGCCTGTCTAACATGGCGAAACCCCGTCTCTACTAAAAATACAAAAATTAGCTGGGCGTGGTGGTGCACACCTATATACCTAGCTACTCGGGAGGCTGAGGCAGGAGAATCAGTTGAACCTGGGAGGCGGATGTTGCAGTGTGCCAAGATTGCATCACTGCACTCCAGTGGGCGACACAGTGAGACTCCGTCTCTCAAAAAAAAAAGAAAAAAAAAGAAAAAAAAAAAAGATGTTCACATGAAGACTGGGTGACTGTCAGAGCTTTATGTATCAGATGACAGTTTTTTCCAAATAACCTCAAAAAGCTTTTCATTTCTCTAGGATTATGTTTTTATTTCTGCAAATCCTAGACATTCTCTTAGGGAAGGACAAGGTGATTTCCTATCCTTAGTTTGATAGTTACTATTAGATATTTGAAATATTTTAGCCAAAATTTTATACTCTGATTCTCAACTTTGATCTTTATATATTTTTTTAAATTATAACCATGAAAAATGTTGTACGTATACTTGAGGTTTCTGGTTAACATCTTAAAAATCCCTGTTTCTTTCATTTGGTAT